TGTGTGACTGAACCACGTGCATACAGTACCCAGTGAAGCCAAAAGAAGGCATCAGATCCTCTGGAAGTGGAGTTAGAGCTGCCATGTAGGTACTGGGAATTGAACCTGGATCCTCTGGAAGGGTAGTCAGTGGTCTTAACTGCTGAGCCATCTCTAGCCCTGGGCCTCAGATCTTTAACTGAGTTCTAATAGGATCCAAGCTGCCAGGATGCATTCCTTCACATACCCTCAGGTCCTGCTTGTCCCTTAGATGAACTTGGTGAGATTTTCTAGAGCAAGACTTGGAAGACGTGCCTAAGAGAGTCCTGGAACTGGTCTGCAGTCATCACAGGACACCAGCCCCAGCTTTACCGTGTTTCTTCCTGCGGCTTCCAGGGCAGAGTAGATCACCCAGTGTCTCTGGAGACTTTCTTTCACTCCCACTACCTTTGGCTCTGCTTTTCCTCTTCTCTGTGGCTTCTCTTACCACCTGCAACTCTCAACTAATGCATGCAGTGAGCTTTGACCCTAGGCAACTCTCTTGTGCAAACTCCCAACCTCGCTTAGTACTCCGGTCCTTAAGGAGGGGGAAAGCCCCTTTAAAAAAAATAAATAAATAAAAAATAAAAAAAAAAAGTCTTGATAATCTTTCCATCAAGGAAGCACTATCCGATAATTCAGCAAAAGTTCAGAATCTGCACCTCTTCAAATGTGTTTATTGACTCCTAGTGCCTCAAGGCCCACAGCTGTGTGCACTGGACGTGTTCAATAAATATTTGCTGTTTGGTTTGATTTCCCTGAAACTCAAACTGAACTTTCTAACTGTTCTGAGGATTGAGGCAAATTCCAGTAAGAAGACACTTCAAGATCCTGTGAAAAGGACCAACGAGATAATGCACCGTTTGTTTTTGATAAGCTCTGTCCCACCTTAACTATCACCCTAAGATGCTATCCTTACCCTACACCTTTTTGGACACTCCAGAGGAGCTGGAGAAGCCCTTGCGTTTGTGCAATGTGTTGTGCCAAAGCTCCATGGAAGGCCAAACCTTGAGTTACTCAGTAACTAACCACAGGGGAATCCGGCTACTGTTTGCTCCTTGCCAAGGTATTACTGTGGGGGCCAAAGACATGATGAACACATAGCCCAGGAAATGAGGCAACAGGCAAAGGCCACATAAATTACCTCCCCACAGGAGTTACTATTCACACTGGAGGCTGGTGAAGAAAGGAACTACTGACCCGAAAGAGATAGAAAAATGAGAGGGGACCCAAATGTGATATTCTTTTCTCTCAATGGATTGTCAAGCCAACCCTAGCAGCAAAGAACCAGAAGACCTCATGTGTGCTTTCCAATCTTGTTTCCACTTAGAATGAGAAAAGTGTGTGTGGGGGGATTCTCTCCCACATTTTCACCTGATACAGGTATTTCAGAAGCCAGCAAGATGGTCTAGTAGATAAAAGTGCTTGCCATGCACACTTAGCCCGAATTCCATTCCTGGAACTTCATAAAAAGCAGGACTGTCGCTGGGCAGTGGTGGCTCACGCCTTTAATCCCAGCACTCAGGAGGCAGAGCCAGGCGGATCTCTGTGAGTTCGAGGCCAGCCTGGGCTAGCAGGAAAGGCGCAAAGCTACACAAAAAAAAAAAATCCTGTAAAACCAAAAAAAAAAAAAAAAAAAAAAAAAAAAAAGGCAGGACTGTCTCCTGGCCATGTTGTCTCCCTGATTGTCAAGAAACATGGTCAGGTTCTTTTCTTTCAGGAGTGGAATCCCAGTAGCAGATCCCAAAAATGTTGGGTTCAAGAGCTGAGAGTCAGGGAATGTTTGGGCTGGTAACTTCCAGGCCTTTGAAGTAGTTAGAGCTTCATCGTGCAGCAGGAAGCTGAGCTGCTAAAAAGAATTGGTTACAGGAACGCAGAGGCTGTGTGTGGCTGTGCCCCTCTGGGATGCATACTGGAGACAAGGATGCTCTAATACAATACATGGAGCCAAAGAAAAAGCCTCTGCATTCACTTCTGGGACCTGATTTTGAGAATATTATGAACAAACTTGTGACCGGGTGGTGGTGGGTGAAGTTCTAAGCTTTGCATGAAGAAAACAGCCAGTGGGAGGCAAAAAGATGGAGGGTTTTGATACTAGCCTGGGCTACATATCAAGTACAGCCTTGTCTCAAAGTGCAGGAAGAGGGGAAAGAAAATCAAGTGGACCCTGAATTGTAGCCAGGTAAGATGTGGACAATTCCTTAGTAACACACAGAAAAGGGGTTGGAGACATGGCTCCGTGGCTAAGAGCACACAGTAAAAAGATCTCTGAGCTGGGTGGTGGTGGTTATTCCCAGCACTTGGGAGGCAGGTGAATCTGTGAGTTCAAGGCCAGTCTCATGTACAGATCGAGTTCCAGGACAGCCAAAGAGATACACAGAGAAACCCTGTCTCAACAACAACAACAAAAAAAAAAAAAAAAAAAGGAAAACTGGTATTTAAAGAGGGGCTTGTATCATACCTCCCCATACCTCCCCTAACTGATGGGGGCAAGCACTCAAAACAAGTAAACAGCTCTTTTCCCGTCTGTAAGCAGAGACAGTAACATCCCAGTAGAGCAGAGGCAGTGTCTGGAAAGCAGCCAGCAGAGATTCTGGTACACATAGTATTTGAAATGGCACCTATCACCCTTGAATATCGGGAATTTGATAAGATCCAATTGCCAACAGCAAGTAATGGTTAATTACAGGCAACAGAACATTATCAGCTAATCGGAATTATTTTGCAGGCAGGCACCTAAACACCTCTCTTTGGCCAGCAGACACTGAGGTGGGCTTCTACTCTCCCCTCCCACCACCTCCTCCTAGGTGCTGCCGCCCTCATCCTGCACTAGGACCCCTCTCCTCAAGCCTCTGTGGCACAGCATTGACACCCTTGTTGCTCATCAAGTCAAAACCTTTTTTCCGTCAGTGACAAATTGATGGGTTAAAAAAAATTAGAAAACTAAGTCAGGCATGGTGGGTATATGCCTGTCATCCCGGCACTCAAGAGGCTGAGGCAGGTGGATCATGAAGTCAAGCCTAGATTGGACCATGTTAGAGATTCTGTCTTGAAAACAAGTGAACGCTGTGCTGGCTAGTATTCTATCAACTTGAGATAAACTACTATTTTGGAAGTATAATATACTATTATATCAAAATTGAGACGATGCCTCCACTAGATTGGCCTGTGGGCAGCCTGTGGTCCATTTTCTTGACTGCTGATTGATGTGGGAGAGCCCAGCTCACTGTGGGCAGGCAGTAGCCACCCCTAAGCTGGTGGTCATGGATGGAAGATGCTATATCAGCCTGCTATAAGGTAGCAGGCTGAGCAAGCCAGGAGGGGCATCCCTCTAGGCTCTGCCTTAGTTTCTGCCTCCAGGTTCCTACTTGGAGTCCTTGCTCTGACTTCCTTGGATGAGGGACTGGGGTTGGGACACGTGAGATGAAGTGAACCCTGTCCTCCTTGGGTTGCTTTTATGGTGTCTTATCACAGCAATAGAACCCTAACCAAGACAGACGTCAACAACAAAAATAGAAAGCCCAGTTGGTAGAGTGCTTGCCTAGACATGCAGGAAGCACTGGTGTTGATCTTCAGCACTGTGTAAGCTGGGTGTGGCAGAGGCAGGAAGACCCGCACTTCAAGGTCAGCCAAGGCCAACCTGAGATAGAGCAGACCCCGTCTCAAAGAAATAAGGGGTGCTTACATATTATTGGGTCTTACACCCTTTTCTTCTTCACCCTTCTGTTACAAAGGTGCAGCACTATATATAACACTCTGCAGTCTTCCCACTTAGATGCTCTAGAGATCTTTCATCTGCCCAGAGAGAGAACCCCCACTGTTATCACAGGATGGTAGTTGTCCATTGTAGGGACGCAGCCAAACTGGTCCCCTCCAACTGGGAATCATTTCCAGTCTTTTGCTATTACAAATTGGGTTCCAGGGTTGTTACAGTGAGAAACTCTGTCTCGAAACCAACAACAAATCGGGTTCCAGCTGGTGATGGTGTTTATGCCTCTGTGTAGGTTGGATTCCCGATGTGGCATGGCAGCTTGAAGGGCAAATTTCCTATCAAGGAGTTCCAGCCATTTGCATTCCCCAAAGCAATCTGTGAAAGGGCCTGCTTCCTCATAGCTTTAGCTGTGTGTCCTCTAGTTCGAATTCTTTGAATTTTTTTCCTTTCTCTTTTAGAGACAGGGTGGCCACTGTGTAGCCCAGGCTGGTCTCCCAACTCTCAAATCCTGCCTCAGTCTCCTGGGTGTTGATATTATAGGTGTGCACCACTGTGTGTGTGTGTGTGTGTGTGTGTGTGAGTGTGTGTGAGTGAGTGAGAGAGAGAGAGAGAGAGAGAGAGAGAGAGAGAGAGAGAGAGAGAGAACCCCTTTTAGGGTGATAGAAAAAAACAGAGGAGAAATAGTGCTTAAAATAGCATGCAAAAATACTATTGAATCACCAGGCGGCGGCGGCGGCGGCGGCGGCGGCGGCGGCGCACGCCTTTAATCCCAGCACTCAGGATGCAGAGGCAGGCAGAGCTCTGAGAGTTCATTCGATGCCATCCTGGTCTACAGAGCGAGTTCCAGGACATGCTCCAAAGCTACAGAGAGAAACTCTGTCTCAAAAAACCAAAGGGGGACGTGGGGGTGGGCTATTGAAAGTTGCTTAACAGATGAAAAGCTGATAAAAAACAGAACTAATGTTATACATAGATTAATAATGTTGTTTTGTATGCTACTTATAAGCTTCCAAAATGCTATTTAACAAAAGGAGAGAACTGGTTTTACGGCAGAGAAATGTGGCTGATAGCTCTCTCAGCCAAGGAATGGCGACCAGCGGCAGCAGTTTGGGAAGATGGTCTGTGTGCCTTCCAAAGTGACAGGCTCAGGTCACAGTCATCCTGTCCTCCAAAGGATCATGGGAACCTAATTGTGAGGCTATCTACTGCACACAAACAGGGATTTTCTTCAAAATTGACTGGCCTATACACTTCAAAAACACCACTCACGATGGACAGAGTACAGAGCTGGACGGTAGGGAGCCGGCTCTTACAGAAAGCCTAGTAACCCAAGTTTAATCCCCAGGAACCACATAAGGGCGCAGAGAAAGCACCACAAAGCTGCCCTCTGCCCGCACACATGCTTTGCACATGTGTACCTATAGTCTCTCTCTCTCTCTCTCTCTCTCTCTCTCTCTCTCTCACACACACACACACACACACACACACACACACACACACACGTTCTAAAATATTTATTATATATTTATTTGTTGTGTGTGCGTTCTTACAAACATGCCACAGTGCATATGGAGGTCAAAGGACACTCGTGGGAGTCAGCTCTCTTCTTCCACCATGTGGGTCCTAGAGACCAAACTCAGGTCACTGGGTTGGTGGCAGGTGCCTTTACCCACTGAGCCATCTCGCTGGCCCTATACCCACTTCGTGTCTATTGGTTCTGTTCATGACTACTCCCTGACCTTGAGGAGAACCTCATGAGGTCTCTAGCACATGCCTGTGCTGGGTCACACCCCTCTACTTGCCAAACAGGCGACTTTTTAGTTGTCTTTAGTGAAGGGTGATGGGGAGCCATTGAGAAACAAACTCCAGCATCTGCCCTTGAAGTATCCTGCTCCATCAGGAAAGAACTCAACATGGCTTCAGTCCTGATGCTTTCCTGTCCAGATAGTGAAGCATTCCCTACAGTTTCTCTCATTCCAGACAACTCAAGTTCTCATATCATAGAATGTTGAACATCCTGGTGATAGGATTTGGGGCTATTTAGAAGAGGAAAACAGAAATAAATAGCTCCCCCCCAAACTCCTAAAAATATTAGCAATAATACACAGAGACATAACTTGGCTTGTTTGGTCTTTAAGAAATATTTCAAAGTTGGGCAATGGTGTGGGCAGAGCTCTTGGAAGGCAGACGCAGGCGGATCTCTGAGTTCGAGGCCAGCCTGATCTACAGAGTGAGTTCCAGGACAACCAGGGCTACACAGAGAAACCTTGTCTTGAAAAACAAAGCAAACAAAGCGAAACATTTTTTGAGTCGTGCAGATCCTACTGAGGAGTCACCATTAGCAAGGCCCCTCCCCACCAAAACTGAAGAAAGGTCTGGACAAGAAGTTATCGTTGAAGTTAAATGGTGGCCGACACGTACAAGGAAGACTATGGGGCTCTGATCCCTTTATGAATCTTGTGATTGATGAGTGTGTGGAGATGGCAACCAGTGGGCGACAGAATGACATCGGAACCGCGGTCATAAGAGGAAAGAGCATCATCAGGTTAGAAGGCTTGGAAAGAGTCTACACAACGGCTGGTCAGCAGAGGAGTCCACATCCCTCCCCAAAGGGCCTGTTGACTGTGGTGTAGAATTGGGTTGTGTACATTGTCATGACACTTTTTTGCTACATAAACTTTTGTGATTAAAAACAAAAAAGACAGAAATATTTCAATGGTTGCTGCCCTTGCTCACAGTAAAGGAAACAGGCGTGGGGGATCACACCTGTAATCCCAGCACTTGGAAAGTAAAGACAGGAAGATCAGGAGTTCAAGGTCAACTTTGGCTTCCTAACAAAGGTGAGGCCTGCCCACTGGGGCGAGAATAATAAAAGCAGTTGTTCCCAATGGTGGCCCTCCACTCTGCTATCTCCTGATTTGATTCATCAGAACTTTTTCCTGCAGAGCCCTCCTGAGTCAGGTACCTCCTGAGCAGGTCTGAATTCTCCACGGTCTCCTTTTTTTCCTTCTAAAGGTGACAGGAGAATGGGGCTGTGGGCAGGAAAGGGAGGCCACACTTTCCCTCGGCCCGACTGAACTCTAGCTTCTCTGCTAACTAAACAACACTGGCTGCTGTACTTTGCTTAACCCTGGGAAGTGGTCATCGGCCTTTGACCTCAGCCCTCCTCTCCTGACCCGCTCCCTCCCCCTCCCCTACCTGGCCTCTGGACCTCTGTCAGATTTAGAGGAAAGAAGCAGTTCTCGGAGTTCCTGTCTCAGACAGCTCCGTCCCCTCCTGCCTGTCTCTGTAGAAGCGCATCGGCCATGAATCCCGATGGGAAGGCGAGTGTGGCTGCGGGAGAGAGGTAAGGGTGGGCCAGCTCTTGCTGCGTTTTCTGACCTCCGAAGGACTCACAGGGATGACCTCTGACGCTTTTGAGAAGACCAGGCCCTCTCTCTGGTAGTTAAGTCAAAGGCCTATTTGGAAGATCTCGTTTCACCAAAGCCACATCTTAGGTTCTCAGCTCCCCAAGCAAGGGGGTGCCTTCCCGGGGGAAGAGATGGGCAACCCAGAGGACATGGCCAGGGTAGCCTCCTCATTTGCTTTACACCCCTCTCCTACTCAATCGCCCCTTGCCTCAGGGACCTCTGACTAACTCCCAGAGCCCTGTTCCCTTTGCAGAGAGACTCCCTTCTGGATTCCACACCCTTCTTGATGTAAGGGCTGAAGGAGCTGGAAGCGAGGCAGCCTGGCCACGGTGGTTTCTATTTATGCCAACTGAGCTCCAGGGCCCCTCCAGCTTCCAGGTCTCATTTCCACACGGCCAGAAGAACAAAATGGGAAACACAAGACAATGGAGATGGGCGGTGGTCCTCCCTCCCTCCCTCCCTCCCTCCCCCTCCTCCCTCCTGTCACCCTACCCTCCTCCTTGCCCTTCAGTGTCCACTTCTGGAGCGGTAGAATTGGTTTCCGACCACACAATCCACGTACCCTTCACCTGTCCTCAACCTCGTCAGCCCTTCTTCTCACCGAGCAGACTACCTTGGCAAGTGTTTTCTGCACTCTGCCTGACTTTTTCTTCCAGAAGGGGACTGGAAAGGCTCAGGGCCCAGACACAGACTCCTTTCTCTAGACTCAGGTTCCCCAGAGCAACTGGGGGTAGCCTGGCCCACTCTCTTAGCTACGCATATATTCTGGAGAATATTTCTTGCTTTACTTTATTGAGTGTCCAGATTCTCTTGCCAATCTCATTACCTCCTGTTTGAAATTGAGGTATTATGTAGCCCAGGCTGCCCTCGTGCTCACGATCCTCCTGCCTCAGCCTCCCAAATGTTGAGATTAAGGGTATATACCCCACCACACCTGGCTACTATCTCATTTTTTAGAAAGATATCAAACTGCACATGGTAGCATATGCCTATAATCCTAGCATTGGGGATTGGGAGACAGGATAATCAGAAGTTCAAGGTCATCCTTAGCTACAGAGTGAGAATGAGGCACTAGGTCACTGAGACCCTATCTGAATCCCTAACACCTTCAAAGTGAGCTTATCTTTACTTGTAGTGACCCCTGGTAGAAGCTTCGGAAAAAACCTGAGGGGACAGAAAAGAAGGAGGGCAGAACTAAGGCGGAGGCAGGGAGGGCCAGAGGGTAAGGAAGAAGCCTTAACTGAGTCTGGGGTCGGATTAAATGAGGAGGGAGGGACCCAGGGTGACTTCCAGGTTTCTGGCCTGCTGTCAGGATCCATGGGTCGAAGGATGGAAGAGCAGGTGTGTGTTGGGAATACCAGCTCCGCAGGTCCCATCTCACTATGGAAGTGGCAGGCCTTCCAGACGGGACTGTCCGGCGGCCGATAGTCAGTCTGGAGGTTCGAGTTCAGCCTGAGCCACAGATCTCCGACTCTTGAGCAAGCAGCTGCTCCCTTTGCTGCGTTCATTCTCACCCCTCTTGTCCAAAGGCTTTCTGGCCTTTAAGATTGGGGCTGTATTCCATCTGTGTCTGGGGGCTCTTGTCAACACCTTCAGTGGCTCCCTTTATTCTCTGACTCTCCACAGGGCACTCTCCAAAGGAAACTGCATTCTTCTTCTCTGAGCACGAACACACACCTATTTCTAGTATATAAGTGTTCAGGCAAGGAGCCTAGGACTGGTCTTATCCTGGACAATGATGCTTAGCTCAAATGCAAAGAAGGCTACACTCCTATGCTTCTCAGGGATAAGTGGCGTCCAGTGGGGATGGGTAGTCACGGTTCTGTCCCCTTTTAGGAAGGTACGACTCCTCTCCCTGCTGCTCATCAGTGCCTGGGGCTGTGTGATCTGTCATGGAAATCCTGTGGATGACATCTGCATAGCGAAGCCCCGGGACATCCCTGTGAATCCCATGTGCATTTACCGCTCTCCAAGCAAGAAGGCAACTGAGGAGGATGGCCAAGAGTCAAAGGTCCCGAAAATCCCGGAGGCCACCAACCGTCGGGTCTGGGAACTGTCCAAGGCTAATTCTCAATTCGCCACCACCTTCTATCAGCACCTCGCAGACTCCAAGAATGACAATGACAACATTTTCTTGTCACCCTTGAGCATCTCGACGGCTTTTGCTATGACCAAGCTGGGTGCCTGTAATGACACCCTCAAGCAGCTGATGGAGGTACAGTAAAAAGCCCTCTCTCTTTCCTGGATGGGGAACATCTCTTGGACTTCTTTATGTCTAATGAGCCTAAAACAATGCATCAGGCTGTGTGGTGAATCCACTGTGTGTTATGGTTCTCTTTGAGTCACTACTTCAAGGGTTGGGATTATTTTTCTTTTTTTTTTTTTTTAAAGATTTATTTATTTATTATGTATACAGCATGTATGACCAGAAGAAAGTACCAGACCTTATTACAGATGGTTATGAGCCACCATGTGGTTGCTGGGAATTGAACTCAGGACCTCTGGAAGAGCACTCAGTGCTTTTAAC